AGGGGATATTTGAGGAACATTATTCAAGCCAAGTGGTTTTCATTGTCAATCAATATGTGTAAGCTTTAAGACTTCCACAACATGGGCTATGTTTTGCTGACAGTAGAAACCCGAGTCCTTCCTAGAGACCAGCTAGGTTTTGTGAAAGCAAATCAATCCTTGCTGTGGCAAGGTGCTTTTCTGACTTCAAATACTTTAGCAGAAGCATCTGGCCCCTGGTAGAATACCCCCACTTCCTCTAATAGAATTCCTCCACTGTCCTATTCCAGCCCTTTCCTGCTCCAACACTTCCATCACACACAATCAGCAGAGCCTGGAGACAGCATGGCCTGGCCTTTGCTGATCGGGTGTGCTGGGCAGAGGAAGGTAGATGGCCCAGGCAGTGGTTTCTGATCCTTGTAGCCCTTGTTCCCAATATGTCACCTGAGGACCATCACTAGCATATACACTGCAGACATCCAGCAGAGGCAGGGTCCACTCACTGGTGATGACACTGTCTCAGACTTTGTCCAGTCTCCACTCCCGCAACATTCCAGAGTAGATAATGGAGACTGCTACAAGAAAAACAAGCCTATAAAAGAGAATGGCAGGAGCATTCTGTTGATGTACACTTTGAAATACAGTGTGCATATTTGAAGAGCCACATATTTCCCACTCTGTAGGCCACCAAGGTAGGAAGCCAAAGTCTCTAAAATTGACCTTCTGGAATCACAGCAAGGGGAGGGTTGAGCTTGTGAGATTTTCAACCCATGTCAGCCCCTGAGAGGGTGGCCCGACCAAGAAAATGTGAGCGTCCACACCTGGGGGAGCAAAGCACCCTCTCCAGTCTGTGCGAGGATGGACTTGGTCTACGCTTGCCTTCCAGGTGACGTAACTTTGGGTCTCCGAGTCCATCAGTCCCTCTTTGCTGACATTCTTCTTTTACATACTTTCATGCATTCATTTTTTCTCTCTCTTTCTCTCAATCCTGTGACCCTGGGAGGCCATTTGTGTCTTTTTATGAGATTCCTGTCTCTCCTCCATCCCTTATCATTGAATTAATAACCCTACACACAGGAAACAAGCAAGCACCTCTATTTCCAAGTTCTCAGAGGACAGATGTCCAGCCATTCTTGGGATCCAGCACAGAAGCGAGTCCAGCTCGCCTTGCTCCAGTTCCTCCAATTGCTTTTATGATGCTTTCACTGATCAGGCAGCCAGGGAGTACTCAGCAGGATGAAGGGTCCTTTGTGCTGCCCTTTCTGCAGAGGGAAGCCAGCTTTGACAAGACTCTACTCCCTTGAAAACCTCATCTTTTCTGCAGTATTGTAACACTGCCTTTTGTCAAAAGAGAAGATGAAATTACTCTTTAAGCAGAGCTGTCTGAGATACTGGATTCACTTAAACATATTTCTCATTACTTTTTGGACTAAGTTTTCTCTTCCATGTGTCTGCAAAGTCTGGACAAACCTACAGCCGGAGGTTTGAGAGGATTTCACACATTGCCTTAAGTATTGAATCGTGAATTTACAAGTCATCATTCTTTGCTGCAAATTACAAAGAACCAGTTCACACGGGCTTATGTGAAGAAGAGAGTTTGTTGATTGTGAGATTGTTCCAGCTTCAGGTATGGCTGGATCTAGAGCCTCCAGCAATGCCATCAGGTACAGTACTGCCTTTATCTCAGGTCCACTTCCTCTATAGTGACTTACCCATGGAAAGCCTTGCTCCCTGTACGGCTTTCTCCTGACAACTCCAGAATCACATTCTACCAGCTCCACACATTCAGCACAAAGAAAGCTTCTCTGTAATAGTCTGACTAGGGTTGCCAGCTTTAGCAAATATTTGGAACACATCCTTGATGATCCAAAATTCAATTTAACTGAGGTTGTCCTTGATTGACAACCTTAGGTCCCATATAGGTCCTAGGATTGAATCTGGCCAATTTGGATCCTACACCCATCCTAGAACCAATCACAGTGGTCAGCAGAGTGGGATATGTCAGCCAGCAGGCCAAAGTCACCTGCCTATTCCCGGAAGGAGGGGAGTGTGGTCAGCCCCATGGTCCACATGCACCCACAGTGCATGTGGTAACCCACAGAACTAAAGACACGGATCGTAGAAGAAAGGGGACTGAACCCTGCAAAGGAAGAAACCAACAGATGCTCACTAAGGTGACTTTAAAAGTCCCAGACAACAGCAGTGAAAACTGTAAAGCTTCACGGTGGCTGGGCCGGGCGCAGTGGCTCACGCCTGTAATCCCAGCACTTTGGGAGGCCAAGACTGGTGGATCGTGAGGTCAAGAGATTGAGACCATCCTGGCCAATATGGTGAAACCCTGTTTCTACTAAAAAAACAAAAATTAGCTGGGTGTGGTGGCATGCACCTGTAGTCCCAGCTACTCAGGAGGCTGAGGCAGAAGAATTGCTTGAACCTGGGAGGCAGAGGTTGCAGTGAGCTGAGATCTTGCCACTGCACTCCAGCCTGGCAACAGAGTGATACTGTCTCAAAAAAAAAAAAAAAAAAAAAAAAACTTCATGGTGGCTGTACGACATTCAAGAGCTTAAAAGCACTTCCATGCCATTTTTTTCCTGTGGGTATTATAATCATTCCCTGTATTAATGTGCTAGGGCTGCCCCAACAAAGTACCACAGACTAGGTGACTTAAACCCCAGAAATTTATTTTCTCACAGTTCTGGAGGCTGGAAGTCCAAATTCAGGATGTCGGTGGGTTGGTTTCTCATGACGCCTCTCTCCTTGGCTTGCAGACAGCCGTCTTCTCCCTGTATGTCCATGTGGTCTTCCCTCTGTAACTGTCCCCTCTTCATATCAGAACACTAGTCATATTGGATTAGGGCCCACCCTAATCACCTCATTTTAACTTAATCATCTCCATCGAGTCCCTGTCTCCAAATACAGTCCCATTTTGAGGCACTGGGAGTTAGGGCTTCAGCATATGAATTGGGGGTGTAGGGGGAATGCAATTCAGTCCCTAACACTCCTGCTTTCCTTTTTTTCTTTTATGTAAGTGTTGCATGTAAAATTTTCAGAGCCGCAAAAGAAGTAGCCCTGGAATATAAATTTCCTCAGCAAGGCAATTTACTTCTATAGAAGGGTGCGGCTCACAGATGGAACAGTGGTGAGCACACACCTGGGCAAGGGAGGGGAAAGGGTACTTATTCCCGACGGAGGTCACCCCTACTGCTGTGTCATTCCCCTGTTGGCTAGGGTTAGACCACACAGCCTAGTCTAATTCATATTGGCTATTTTAAAGAGAGCAGGGGTACAAGTCAGAGTGGTGGAGTGGGTAGTTTGGTGGGAAGGATGGTTCCGGGCAGGTGAGAGCATGTAACCAGGGATCAAAGCAGGTGACCAGAGCAGGTGACCCAGATGAGTCAGGAGAGAGCAGGGGAGGGCGGGGAAACAGATGTGAACTACTGAGTAGAACTGGTGGAAAAGGCTTTTACTGAAACTACAAGGGAGTTAAACTTTGAAACGGAGAATTAAAGAATAAGAGAGCTGAGCACACTGACACACTGATTCTTTGAAGAGAAACTTGGAGTTCACTGTACCTAACATAAGGAAAAGGACAGTGAGGGTGGTCTTGGCTTGTTTCCAACCCCAGGGCTGATTTAGTGGTGGAACTCCACCCAGTGCTGGTCCCCTGTCCCAGTCACACCTCTGCAAACACCGCATGCCCACACCCTGCCAGCCACCAGGCTCCCCGCCTGGTCCCAGCACCAGGCACAGAGCAGACAACGTTCTTGAAATAAGTGTTTCATGAAAAGAATGAAACTGGGAGGGAAAGAGACAAAAAAAAAAAAAAAAAAAACAAAAAACCTAGACAGTTTTAGGAGATTTAGCTCAAAGGAAAGGAGGACAGGCACACAAGCTCCTGATTTGAAGCAATAAAGGCTCTTCAGAACAGCAGGAATGAGGCCTATGGATGTGTAAATGAGCCCCGGGGAATAACTAAGCAGAAGGGCGAATCACAAAACAGAAAAAGACGAAAACAGACTGAGGGAGAACAGTGAATATTTTAGTGTCTTCAGTTCATAAGAAATTCATGAGCGATTTTGGAAATTTTGTTGGTTTTGGTGGTGGGAGAGAATTGTAAATATGTACAATATGTAAGTATCTTTTATAATAAAAGCCCATGAAGATAAATGAGCCTGTCTGCGGAAAAGCTGTGAGCCGTATAAGATGTTAATATCACTGTCGTCACGGTAGAAATTACCATAATGCTTACAGGGATTTGAAAGTTCCTGAGCTAGTAAGGAAATGCATAAATACTAAACAGAACATACATACACACACACACACACACACACACACACACACACACACACACACACAATCTCTATTTAAAAACAATTATTATTATTATTTTTTTTTTTGATACAGAGTCTCACTCTGTGGCCCAGGCTGCAGTGGAGTGGCACAATCTGGGCTCATTGCAACTTCCGCCTCCCGGGTTCAAGCGATTCTCCTGCCTCAGCCTCCCCAGTAGCTGGGATTACAGGCTCCTGCCACCACGCCCGGCTAATTTTTTGTGTGTTTTTAGTAGAGACGGGGTTTCACCACATTGGCCACTCTGGTCTCGAACTCCTGACCTCAGGTGATCCGCCTTTCTTTCCTTCTTTCTCTTTCTCTCTTTCTTTCTTCCTATCTCCCTGTCCCCCCCCGCCCCCCGCCTTCCTTCCTTCCTTTTTTCCTTTTCTTTTTCTTTCCTTTTTAAAGATGAGGAAGGTAGCTTTAGTGAAAACAGGCTTTGGAGTTGAACCTATATGGGTTCAAATTCCACTTCCTTCCTCCGCCGAGAGCTGTGAGACCTCGGCCCGGCCCTGCGCTCCCAGTGGGATTCGCTTTCCCATCCGCGAAACGCGGACGGCGCCGCCCACCCCTCGCGGCCTTCGGGGCGGGCTGAGTGGGACTCTGAGTCTGGCTCCAGCCACGCCCTTCGCTCCCGTCCCGGCGCGGACCGCGGCCACTGCAGCGCCCCCTGGGGGCCGAGGCCGGGGCGGGGTCTCGGTCCCTCCGCGGAAGGACGGGGCCGGCCCGGACGAGGCAGGACTCGCCCTTCGGCCCCGCGCTCCCCGAGCCATGGCGCCGGCCCTGTGGCGGGCCTGCAACGGGCTGATGGCCGCCTTCTTCGCGCTGGCGGCCTTCGTGCAGGTCAGGAGGCCGCGGTGGGAGGAGGCCCCGCTGGGCTCCCAGCTCCACCCCTGGCCTGGCGGGCGGTGTAGACCGGCGAGCCGGCAGAGTCGCAGGGGCGCTGTTTATGGGGAGGACGGGACTTGGGTTTCTGCTTGGGGAACCCCCAGCCTCTTCACCGTCTAAGAAACGCGGTGTGTTCATGGAAACGAGTCACACCCCGGGATCTGGCCTGGCAGGCCCCTCCCGAGCTCATACCCTGGAAAGGGCTAGTTCAGTGAGTGGAAGTTCCCAGGGGACCTCACACCTGGGAAGCGGCCCTGACACCTGCCTTAATGACCAGCCTGAGGAGGCACAGAACACATCTCAGGGCCTAGGAGACAAAGCAGGACAAAACCCTTTACAGCATCGTTAGCCCTTCAAGTCGGCTTGGGGACCCTCTTCATAATAATTTCCCTCATTTTTTGAGACTGGTGGGGGTGGGGGTGGAGGGCCCTTAAAATACCCATTCTGGGTTTGAAGAGCCCTCTCCAGAGCTCCTGTGAAGGCTTTTCAAAAACATGAGGCTGCCTATTAAAAACATCCGTTGTGTCAGCCAGAAAGAAACCCCTTCACCCATCCTCATCTACTGGACTATGTCCTGTTCAGATTTTGTATCCGCGGTTCCTATTGCAGTGTCTGGCACTTAACAAATTAATTTTTTTTAAAAGTACTTAACAAATGAATTTAAAAGGAATGGAACAGGACAAGAGGATGTCTGCTAACACCTTGGTGTTCTGGCGTTCCAGGTAAATGACCCAGATGCAGAGCTGTGGGTGGTGAGTATGAGCCTCTTCCAGGCTTTCCTCCATTTGGAAGAATTGGGGAATGGCACAAAATACAGGGTTTTATGTCTTTACTTCTGCTGCCTGCGTAATTTTCTTAGAAACTTAAAAATCAAACCCTTGGTAAACTCTTTTTCCTAAAATATCAGTAGGCAGGATCAGCGTTCTAATGTCATGTGTGTGTCAATTTCGAATTTTCTGGAAACAGGTCTTTCTGCAGTAATCCCTTTGGGTAGATGGCTCAACTGAGGACACTTTCTTTAGGACCTAGAGTAGGCTTCTCACGACCAGTTGAACCGTTTCTTAGTTTCTAGCCAGAAACTCAATGCAAACCTTTGACCAGGAAATAGCAGGCTTAAGTTCTGTGGTTCTGCTAATTCAGTTACTTATATTTATAGAAAGTATTAACTCCTGGTTGGGCAAGGTGGCTAGCGCCTGTAATCTCAGCACACTGGGAAGCCAGGGCAGGCGGATCACTTGAGGTCAGGAGTTCTAGACCAGCCTAGGCAACATGGTAAAACCCCATCGTCACCAAGAAATACAAAAATTAGCCAGGCGTGGTGGCATGAACCCATAGTCCCCAGTCACTCGGGAGGCTGAAGCAGGAGAATTGCTTGAACCCAGAGGCAGAGGTTGCAGTGAACCAAGATTGTGCCACTGCACTCCAGCCTGGGTGACAAAGTGAGACTCCATCTCAAAAAAAAAAAAAAAAGAGAGAGAGAGAGAAAAGAAATATTAAATCCTGCAAAACCTACAGTCTTCGTAAAAGCAGTGCTCCAATTTGAGCCATTTGCAGGAGGGGGACATTGTCCCATACATCTTCTAAATATCTTTTATCTTCTAAAATATCTGAATTTTGCCCAATTTCTCTCAATATAGATACACAAGACTGTATAGTATCACCAAGGAGACTATTCTTAGGCTTTAGAGTAATATTGACAGAGGAGTAACAAGGATGATGGCATTTGGAATTATAACACAAAATTCTAATCAGTTTTTTTGTTTTGTTTTTAGTGCAGTAAAACCACATTCTGATATTTCTTATCCAGATCATTATGCCTCTGAATCAAATCAAACTGCCTTTGCCCTGGCACCCTGTCCCTTATCTTGAATTCCAAATATTGTTTCCCTGCAGACAAGTCTCAGACATCCAGCTTAATGATGAATTCGCAAAAAACTCCTGCTGCGTATATTCACCTTTATGTCACCCTGCTCCTCAAATATCCCCAAGGACCTACCTAGCATATTTCCCTCCAAAATTTACTCCTTCTCCCGACACACCCATTTTTGTTATCAGCAGAATCATTCTCTGAGTCGTCCTTGTCCAGAATCTCAGTCATTGTTAACATTCCTGTGTTCCTTACCAATGACTTGGAGATCCCCTCAAAAAACAAAATAAATTTGAGCTGAGCATGCACGGCCTGTAGTTCCAGTTACTCAGGAGGCTGAGGCAGGAGAATCACTTGAGCCCAGGAGTTCAGGCCAGCCTGTGCAACATAGCGAGACCCCCATCTCTAAAAAATTAGGTAATTAACAATTGGCTGGGCGTGGTGCCTCATGCCTTTAATCCCAGCACTTTGGGAGGCAGAGGCGGGCAGATCACCTGAGGTCGGGAGTTCGAGACCAGCTTGACCAACATGGAGAAACTCCCTCTACTAAAAATACAAAATTAGCCAGGCGTGATGGCACATGCCTGTAATCCCAGCTATTTGGGAGGCTGAGGCAGGAGAATCACTTGAACACAGGAGGCGGATGTTGTGGTCAGCCCAGATCATGCCATTGCACTCCATCTTGGGCAACGAAAGTGAAATTCCATCTCAAAAAAAAAAAAAAAAAAGGTAAACAATCTAGGTCTAATTGTTTACCTATATAGTACCTGCACATTTTGTCTTTCACTCCAGCCTGGGCAACAAGAGTGAAATTCCATCTCAAAAAAAAAAAAAAATTAAACAATCTAGGTCTAATTGCTTACCTATATAGTACCTGCACATTTTGTCTTTCATTCATGCTCAGATGATATAATAGGAAGAACAGACCCCACGTCCCCGTACACATCCTCCCTCATTCACCGTTCAGCCCTCCCACCTGGACCCCTAGAACCGCTTCCTAACTCTTCTGTCTGCTTCTAATCTCTTCTGCTCCTAGAGCATCTCCTGTATGTCACTTTCTGCTTCAAATGCTTTTGTCATGTCCCAAGATCTCTAAGTTGAAACTCTCCAACTTGGATTCAAGGCTCACCACAGAATGGCCCCAACCCACCTTCCTGGCTTGGTCACTGAAGCCTAATCCAGCAATTAACAGTTACTGTACCTTGCCCTGGAATTCCTGTATACCATACTTTCCCCAAGCTTCAATAGCTATTGCAAATGCTGTCTCAACCAAAAAATCTCTCTACCTTTCTCCTGTAGGCTCCAGCCATTCTTCCTTTGGACCTTTTCTGTTGTGCTAACACATTGGGCTTTGCATTAAAGTTGGCTGTGTGTGTGCCGGCTCCCACAAGGACAAGAATCATTTTTCCTTCTTCTTGGTAGTCTTCAAGCAACCTCATTAGAGGATCCCTTATAGAAATCCTTCCTGTAGTGACTCTTGAATGAATGCAAGAATGAATGGATGCACCAGTAAGCAAATATGAGGCCTTGGGGGCTGGCCCGAGTCATTTCTGTGTTCTTTGCTTCACCGTACTCATGGAGAATATTTGTATCAGAACACATATGGCAGCAAATAATAGAAACTTGACCAGCATCAGTTTATTAAAATACAGAGTATCTCATTTAAGCAGTCCAGAGGTACCTGTTTAAGTCAACAGTGTCATCAAGAACCTGAGCTTTCTGCCTTTCTTCTCTGCTATCCTTAATGGTTCGGTGATATCTCCTCTTACGTTCACAGAATGGCTGCCGCAGCTCCAAACATCTCATCCCCAGAAAAGAGCATCCCAAGGAGGATGAAGCAAGGCAGGAACAAAATAAGTTTTCCTCCTGTGCTTTCTCCTCTTCTGTCAGAGAGGAAAACGTTCCCAAGAAGCCCTTTGGCTAGGGCTGCTATTTAGTTTGTATATACCCGTATGCCATATTCTTAGGGTTCCATTCTGATTGGTCTGTATCCATGCATGTTAACTGTAAAATGTTGTGAGTATCAGCCTTGCCCCAAAAAGACTTCTCTTCCCATCTCATTGCTGAAGCAGGACCACCCCTACCTTCAAGAAGTCCAGAGGTAGCTGAGAAAACAAATTGACTTTTTCAGCTTTTTTAGTGGCAGGTGGACAAGGAAAGTGATATTAGGAATGACTGCCATAGTACTCAAGGACTACATGTTGAATAAAGCTAAATATCGTAAATGAATACTATGATATACTTAGTTTTTTTTGTTTGTTTGTTTTGGTTTTTGAAATAGAATCTTGCTCTGTTGCCAGGCTGGAGTGCAGTGTTGAGATCTCTACTCACTGCAACCTCCGCCTCCCGGGTTTTTAAGCGATTCTTCAGCCTCAGCCTCCTGAGTAGCTGGGATTACAGGTGTGCACCACCATGCCCAGGTAATTTTTGTATTTTTAGTAGAGACGATGTTTCACCATGTTGGCCAGGATGGTCTCAATCTCTTGACCTCATGATCCGCCTGCCTTGGCCTCCCAAAGTGCTGGGATTAGAAGCATGAGCCCCCACATCTGTCCTACTTAGCTTTTTTTAATCCACTAACAAAAATGCAAAAGACCATTATAAGTGGGTTCTGCTGATTCCATTATTATTTGTACTGTACATGGGTTTTTAAATTTTTATTATTATTTCTTTGAGATGGACTTTCCCTCTGGTTGCCCATGCTGGAGTGCAATGGCGTGATCTTAGCTCACCGCAACCTCCACTTCCCAGGTTCAAGTGATTCTCCTACCTCAGCCTTCCGAGTAGCTGGGATTATAGGCATGCGCCACCACAACTGGCTGTACTGTACATTTTTTAACTTGTGTATTAGAAACAATTATTTTCAGTCTCTCTGGCCTCAGATTTTTAAAATTTCATTCAAGATAGACAAAAGCATTAACAGGATTAAAAGGATTAACAGGTCATAACTGCTTGGGAAACTATTATTTAAAGGATTGTTTTGTTCATGTTTACAATATGAAAACAATACAATACAATATAATATGGAAAAAAAGATTCTCTTGAGACAGGGTCTCACTCTGTCACCCAGGCTGGAGTACAGTGGTACAATCACAGCTTACTGCAGCCTTGACCTCCCAGGCTCAGGTGATCCTCCCCGCTCAGCGTCAGCCTCCTAAGTAACTGGGACTTTGCATGCACACCACCATGCCTGGCTAATTTTCTGTATTTTTTGTAGAGATGGAGTTTTGTCATGATGCCTAAGCTGGTTTTGAACCTCTGGCCTCAAGCCATCCTCCTGTCTTAGCCTCCCAAAGTGCTGGGATTACAGGCATTAACTACCATGCCTGGCTTTTTCTTTTATTATTATTATTATTATTTTCTGAGAAGCATTTCTTATAGACAGCACAAATAAATATTGTATGATGCCTGTGTGTGTGTTTGTATGCGTGTATTTAACACTCTCTCTTTGGCTGCCATGTGGTTTTTCACGGGGAGAAAACTAACCTCTTATGCTCTAAGTGTGGTCCTTGAGTCAACAGTAACAGCAGCCCCTGAGAGCTAACGAAACTCAGAAACTTGTGCCCCCTCCCTCAACCTCCAGCATTGTAATTTACATTTTAAGAAGATCCTCAGTGATTTATGTCCACCTGTTAGTGATTACCTGACATGGAAATGTCAATATGGGCCAATATTCCAATAACCATTAGAGACGGAATAGGAAAGATGAAGACAGAGTCTGTAATCCAAACACTTCCTCTCCCCTGGGTCAAGATAGGCGTGTAGTAAAATCAGATCACTTAAATATGCAGTTCTGACAACTTCCAAATAAGCTAATGGTCTCTGACATAAGCACCAAAAGCCCCATCCTTCTTATAAACCCACCCTCCCTACTTGCTCCCTGCCAACAACACATGCCCACACAATACTAAGTTTGGCTAGAGCCTGCTTGCTATGAGCAAGGCTTAGGAATAGGGCCTCATTAGGACCAGTCTTCTCATTTCCAGACAATGTATCAGCAGTTTCCAAAATGAAGAGCCTGACCTTATTACTGGGCACAGCTGATTGCGTATGCATTCTTAGAAAACTTTCTGTAGTCTCACAGAGATGCAGTACTGGGATTGATGGTCCACTGGGTCAAGCCCAGTGGAAAGGGCTGTCTAGCATCCTGGCTGCTCCTGCCCTACTTTTCAAAGAACATTTTCTTTTATGCAAGTGGGGAAAGGCCAATATTTGGGCATGAAAGTTGCTTGGGAGAGACTGGAAAGTTAGCGTCTTTTTTTTTTCTTTTTTTTTTTAGTAAAAGGAGATTTATTTGTTATGAAGAGAAACCCAGAGCATGTTAGAGTGTCGTAAGACCTAAACTCTGTGCTCAGTGCTAGAGGTTGAAAATGAATAAGGCCGGGCACAGTGGCTCACACCTGTAATCCCAGCACTTTGGGAGGCCGAGACAGGTAGATCACAAGATTAGGAGTTCGGAACCAGCCTGGCCAACATATTGAAACCCTATCTCTACTAATACAAAAAAAAAAAAAAAATTAACCAGGCGTGGTGGTGCCTGTCTGTGATTCCAGCTACTTAGGAGACTGAGGCAGGAGAATCACTTGAATCCAAGAGGCGGAGGTTGCAGTGAGCCGAGATCAGGCCATTGCACTCCAGCCTGGGCGACAGTGTGAGACTCTGTTTCAAAAGAAGAAAGAAAGAAAGAAGGAGGAAGAGGGGAGGGGGGAGAGGAGGAGGAGGAGCTGCTTCTGGAATAACCTACAGTCTAGAAGAAAGGTAGATAAAATTGCAGGCAGACATGGTAAGTGGCACAAAAGCAGAATCTACCACTTTGTCCATCACCATTGAAACCTAGAAGCAAATCATGGAGAACAGCAGCCACTGATCTCATCTTTCTTTACTTCCTACATATCTCTGAACATCTCATGTATTGGGTATACATCTTAACTCATGTAATTTTCTCTCTGTTTGCTAACAGGTGGTGTACATAATACCTGCAGTACTGACCCTGCTTGTTGGACTTAACCCTCAAGTCACAGGTATAAGCCTTTCTTTCTAAATGGAGCAAATCGGATTTCCTCATGATAACGCGGGTCTATCTGCCCAACTCCCAGGAGTCAAACGGAGCGCTCTAGGCCTTTCTTCTCATTTCTCATAATAAGAGGGGCTAAATCTAATCATCCTCACCCATCTTCAGGAAAACGTCAGAATGATCTGCTGTAAAACAGCATCTTCTGTTTTATAGAAATGACAGGACAGATTATTCACTTTCTTTAAAATAGCTTCTCCTAGCGGGGCTCGAATATTCTCAGGGGTCTTAGAATAAAGACTAATGAGTCTCACCGTGGTGGGGAAAATTCTAGTTCCCTAGATGCCTAGGTTTCTTGTATAGGCTCCTAGAACTCCATCTACATCTTTAAGGTAGATCAGTTAGGGCTCCTTTAGATACAAACTAGAAAAAGAACTCAAATGTGCTATGAGCTAAGAAGAAAAGTTGGTACAGTTGACTGAAAAGGTGAGGAGTGGTGCTGGCTTCAGGCTGGTGGACTGGGAACATCCACTTCTCTCCACCTCTCAGTTCCACCATCTGTCATGCTCACTTCACTCTTGGGCTCCACACAGTGGCCCTGCAGCCCCTCCCCATTCACATCTTCACGATACCACACCCCGTGGAATATAGCCTGTGTTTCTTCACTCTACCAAAGTCTCAAAATGCAGTTGCTGGCTTTGATTGGTTGTCTGTTTGTGCTGATACAAATCACTGTGGCTGAGGAGATAACATGCATTGATTGACCTAGCCAAAGTCCAGTTGGCTAGGAAACGTGGACTGGGAGTGTTAGCATGGTGGATCCCCAAAGAAAATAAGGGTAATTGGGCCGGGCGCGGTGGCTCATGCTTGTAATCCCAGCACTTTGGGAGGCTGAGACGGGTGGATCACCTGAGGTTGGGAGTTTGAGAACAACCTGGCCAACATGGTGAAACCCTGTCTCTACTAAAAATACAAAATTAGCCAGGCATGGTGGGGCATGTCTGTAATCGCAGCTACTTGGGAGGTTGAGGCAGGAGAATCCCTTGAACCTGGGAGGCAGAGGTTGCAATGAGATCGCGCCATTGCACTCCAGCCTGGGCAACAAGAGCAAGACTCCATCTCAAAAAAAAAAAAGAAAGAAAGAAAAAAGAAAATAAGAGGAATCGTCAGAGGAAGGGGAGCTGCTGAGCAACCCAAACAAGAGTGGCCATTGAAGTTTATAATTACTGCTATGACTTCTGTGTTGTCCTAAAAAAAAGGGGGCGATGGGGGTGAGGAGGTCTGAATGTCTTTCTGAAAGCCAACTATGGCAAAACATAAAAAAAGATCACTTTTCTGTGGGCTGTGATTCAATGATTAACAACATCAGGATGTCTATTTTTAGGTAATGCTATTTGGAAAAGTATCTCTGCAATACACACGTTCTTTTGTACGGTGTGGGCTGTTGGCTTGGCGTACTACCTCATGCGTCATACACAACAGAACATCTTACATGAGGAAGAAGGCAGGTGAGCAGGGGCTTTTGCCCTGTGGAGGGGTGTTGGGTGTGCATGGGAACATATTCAAGCTTCTGTATAAGGCATGTGAGGTCGGGGCATGGAAAAATACCGAGGCACTGTATGTATGTTGTTTGTGCACGTCTATTAGATTTCATTATCAAGTCTACTAGCAGTCATGACATATCATATGATACTACCGTCAGGCCGTTGGACTTTGGCCCCCTTGTCACTAGCAAGGGTATTATACAGTAATACTCAGTCCAGTATAATATGGTGATGACCCTGTCAGTCTCTGATTCAGCTCTGGTTTAAGCCAGAATCTTATCTACAAGTACGACCAGCCATCTCAGAGGTCAGTACTTTAAGTCAGCCTGTTAGACGTGCCCTGGTATATCTTTTATCATCTCCTTGTCATGACCACTTTCTCCATTTTTTTTTTTTTTTGAGATGAGAGTCTCAAAACAACAGTCCGCACTGTTGATAGGCTGGAGTGCAGTGGCGTGATCTTGGCTCACTGCAACCTGCGCCTCTTGGGTTCAAGTGATTCTCCTGCCTCAGCCTCCGAGTAGCTGGGACTACAGGCATGCACCACCATGCCTAATTTTTTTTTTTTTTTTTTTTTTTTATATTTTTAGTAGAGACAGGGTTTTACCACGTTGGCCAGGATGGTCTTGATCTCTTGACCTTGTGATCCACTCACCTTGGCCTCCCAAAGTGCTGAGATTACAGGCATGAGCCACTCTGCCCGGCCCACTTTCTCCTATTTTATCATCTCTTCCTTTTCTTCCTCCCACCCTTGTCTCCGTGGGCTTATGAACAGGTCCTTTCCTTTCTTTTCTACCCCTACTGATATCTGCCAACAACAAAACTCATAGACCTGTAAGTTAAACATCACTGAAAAGGTGATTCTTTGCTATAAGCACCAATCTTTAGAAAACTGGAGAGCCAATCTATAGGTTGGGTCTGTAGCTGAGAATGTAGACCAGATGGTCTGAATCATTTCCAGCATGAAGCCCATGAGTTATGGTGAACTCAGGGTGGGCTTCTAGGGGTACTATGGCTGAAGTGATTGCTTTTTATTCTTTGTAAAAGATATGTACTTGTAATACATATATCTAGAAGCATATACCCACCCCCAGATTATTAGTCTGATTTGTACTACAAGTCATTCCTCTCCCCTAAGAAGTGACCCAATCTCTTGCAGGATGTACACAGATTATGTATTGCTTTGAGCTCATTCTGCCTAACACTGAAGCCTCTTTGAAAATGTAAAAACAGTGACTGATCAAATCTGGGATTTTCTTAGTTGCACTGTTTTTTCCAGAGACCTGAAAAAAGTGATATATCTGTGGTTTTTAAAAATATTCCTTTTGGGGTGATCCACTTATAAATTGGGGCATAGTCGGGGATCTCATATCTGCCTTTTAAGATGAAATATATTTTCATATAAGGCTTTAAATTATTTGGAAAAAAGTAATTTATGAATCATGGTCAGACTTGAAACTATGCCATAGATGCCACAGATCTTGGGGGAGAGTCACCCAATCAGAATGCACTATCAAGTGGTCATGGAGACAATGGGATGATATGCATTTCACTTGTAGCCGCTTCCAAAATCTGAAATGTATGCCATTTTATAGGGAGCTGTCTGGTCTGGTGATTATTACAGCGTGGATGATCCTGTGCTGCAGTTCCTCAAAGTAAGTATTCAACTCATTAGTTAAAATCACATCTTCAAGGCTGATAAAATCAGGTAGTAAGTGAACATACTGCCATAGAAGTAAGAACAGGAATCTTTTGGCCGGGCGTGGTGATGCACGCCTGTAATCCCAGCACTTTGGGAGGCCAAGGCAGGCAGATCACGAGGTCAAGAGATTGACACCATCCTGGCCAACATGTTGAAACCCTGTTTCTACTAAAAATACAAAAATTAGTCGGGCATGGTGGCACATGCCTGTAGTCCCAGCTACTCAGGAGGCCAAGGCAGGAGAATTGCTTGAACGGGAGGCAGAGGTTGCAGTGAGCTGAGATCACACCATTGCACTTCAACCTGGTAACAGAGCAAGACTCTGTCTCAAAAAAAATAATAATACTATTTTGAAAGAAATCTTCCCTTTTCTTAAGAGAAGCCAATAATAGTTTATTTAAAAGTTTCATGGTCACTGTTGTCCACGAAAACCATAGTTTTTTACATGGCCCACTGTAGTCATAGGCAGTTGTCAGCCTAAAGTGTGTTCTTCAGGGTGAAGGAAAATGATCTCAGGAGGAAGCATGGAGATTCAGGAAAGAATGAAGAGCAAAGACAATATAAATGTGTGTGTACAGATCAATGAATGTTAACCAAACTTACCTAGGATAAAAATACATGACAACAGTGACATAAAATCTGGAAAACAGTGAATGGAATTTAAGTTTTCTAAGGTTCTTTAATTGTGTGAGAAGAGGTGAAAGTATCCATTTATATTAGACTTTGGTAAGTCCAGGATTCATGTTTTAATTGTTAGAGTAACCACTAATAGCATTAAAATGAGTACAGAAGGCAGGAAAAGGGGAAGGGGGAACAGAAAAAAATGAGGACCAATAGTAAACATGTGTTAAGATATAGATTTAAACCTAGAGATATCAGAAATTACATTAAATGTAAAGATTTCAGTTAAGGGGCCAGGCGCGGTGGCTCAAGCCTGTAATCCCAGCACTTTGGGAGGCCGAGGCGGGTGGATCACGAGGTCAAGTGATCGAGACCATCCTGGTCAACACGGTCAAACCCCGTCTCTACTGAAAATACAAAAAATTAGCTGGGCATGGTAGCGCATGCCTGTAATCCCAGCTACTCAGGAGGCTGAGGCAGGAGAATTGCCTGAACCCAGGAGGCGGAGGTTGCGGTGAGCCGAGATCGCGCCATTGCACTCCAGCCTGGGTAACAAGAGCGAAACTCCGTTCCCCCCCCAAAAAAAAAACAATAACAACAACAAAAAAAAGATTTCAGTTAAGTGCCAAAGATTTTCAAAATATATAAAAAGATTTAAAACCCAACTTTACACTGCTTATAAAAGATAACCCTTAACTATACTGATATAGAAAGATTTAAAGTCAAAAGATGAAAAAAATTTACAAACACCAGCCAAATGAAATCCAGTATTGCAATTTTAACAACAAAGTAGAATCTAAGGCAATTACTGGAGGAAAAAAAAATTTATGAATATTTTTAATTTTTTGATTTAAACTTTTTATTTTGAATTTTCAAATATATATTAAAAGCAGAGAGATTAATATAGTGAATCAGATGTACTCATTACCCAGCTTCAACAATGATCTAAACTTTATCCACACCACACTGCAAACTATTTTTTTTTTGAGACAGAGTCTCACTGTTCCCCAGACTAGAGTGCAGTGGGGCTATCTCGGCTCACTGCAAACCTCCACTTCCCAGGTTCAAGTGATTCTCCTGCCTCAGCCTCCCAAGTAGCTGCGATTACAGGCATGTGCCACCACACCCGACTAATTTTTGTGTTTTTAGTAGAGATGGGGTTTCACCATGTTGGCCAGGCTGGTCTTGAACTCCTGACCGCAAGTGATCCACCCACTTCAGCCTCCCAAAGTCCTGGGATTACAGGCATGAGCCTCTATGCCTGGCTTGCTGAACTATTTTGAAATAAATCCCACATATCATACTGTTTCCTTTGTATATCAGAATATATCTCTAAAAGATAAGCACTTAAAAACTACTCTATCATCATATAAAAAATGAAGGAATAACTTCAGTATTGTGAGTTTTAAATGTTTGTCCTTCCGTGCCTTATATTTTCTGTAACTTGGTTGTTAGATCTAAAGACTTGATGAGATTCTGGCATTATTATTATTATTATTGATTACTTCATGTTAAGTAATGATGCTATATATTCCCATCATAATATACATAACACCCAGCTGCTTATCTTTGATGTTAATAGTCTTTGATAAGTACTGCCTAAATCCATTAGTTAGTTTGGTTTGCAAAACTGTGATATTCTAGTTATATCACTACTTGTTTATTAGCTGGAAAACGTCTATAAAGAGAAATGTCCACTTATTTATCCGTTGGCTACTCCAAGGTACAGATCATCAGAAGAAAATGAAAGGAAAAGAAGTTAATTCTCTCCCTTAGTTACCAGTTTCCTTTTTTTCCTTTTCTTTTTTTCAGACAGAGTCTTGCTCTGTTGCTCAGGCTGGAGTGCAGTGGCATGATCTTGGGTCACTGCAACTGCAACCTCTGCCTCCCAGGTTCAAGCGATTCTCTTGCCTCAGCCTCCCAAGTAGCTGAGACTACAGGTGTACAGTACCATGCCTAGATAATTTTTGTGTGTTTCTTTTTTTTTTTTTTTGAGACAGAGTCTTGCTCTGTCACCCAGGCTGGAGTGCAGTGGCATGATCTCGGCTCACTGCAACCTCTGCCTCCCACTTTCAAGGAATTCTCCTGCCTCAGCCTCCCGAGTAGCTGGGACTACAGATGGAGGCCACCACACCCAGGTAATTTTTGTATCTTTTACTAGAGACAGGATTTCACCATATTGGCCAGGCTGGTCTCAAACTCCTAACCTCAAGTGATCCGCCCACCTTGGCCTCCCAAAGTGCTGGGATTATGGGCAATTTTTGTATTTTTAGTAGAGACACGGTTTCACCATGTTGTCCAGCCAGTTATCGAACTCCTGACCTCAGGTGATCCACCCACCTTGGCCTCCCAAAGTGCCAGGATTACAGACATGAGCCACCACGCCCGGCCTAGTTACCAGTTTTTAAAATATATTGTTTCTTACCTGGGCATTCTCCAACGGTGACCAATGAGTCTTGTTTCTTTATTTTTGTTTAGTACCATTAAAAAGTCATGGATTTAAACATACTTATTTATTTATTTATTTATTTTTTGAGACAGAGTCTCACTCTGTCACCCAGGCTGGAGTGGTGTAGTGGCAGGATCTCAGATCACTGCAACCTCCACTTCCCAAGTTTAAGCAATTCTCCTCCCTCCTGAGTAGCTGGGACTACAGGTGGACGCCACCATGCCCAGCTAATTTTTGTATTTTTAGTAGAGACGGGGTTTCACCATGTTGTCCAGGCTGGTCTCGAACTACTGACCTCATGATCTGCCTGCCTCAGCCTCCCAAAGTGCTGGGATTACAGGTGTGAGCCACTGCATCTGGCCAATTTAAACATACTTGATGTGTTTCAGTCCATGACAGTTACTGTCTTTATTGATGCTCACACCATCCCATTTTTGGCCAGTGGCACTTACTCAGGTTGGCTCCTGAATTGTTTCTGACATGACCCTAGTAAATCTTTGATAGCTTCCTTGCTTTCTGGTATGCAAGATGTTAAATCACAAAGTCATTTTATACCCAGGATCATGTTTTATGCCACAGACCTGGAATCAGCAGTGTTTGCAATGTTTATGAATTTATATATGTCATAAAGGTATATGTATACATAGATACATATATATGTACATGTATACATTTAAAGTTAAAGTATCTTATGAGTTTATACTAACTACTTAAATTCAGAGGCACCAGTTCTCATTAACCTTATTGGACATTTTATATCTGTATCTCCTTTTAAAACATGGCAAAATCTCTAGTCTCAGTGACCTCAACATAATCACCCATTTGATTTATTCTATAATGCAAATGCAATCTCAAAATAATAATATGACTAATGAAAACAGGTTCTTTTGTTTGTTTTTGTTTATTAGAGTATAACCTACTAAGGGATGTATACTCAAATTACTGGGCATAATTGTTCTGTATGCTAATGCCACCAATTGAATACACAGGTTCATTTATTTCTAGGGATAACTGTATTGAAAATATACTGATATTATTTTATAATTATGTAAAATATCTGCATGGCTCGAAAGTCAAATCTATAAAATAAGATATATCAAAAGAAATCTATCCAGTAAAACCAGGTGGAAAGAGAAAGAAAAAAACACAAAAGAAATGTAGCTTCTCCAGCCCCCAACCCTGTATCTTCCCTTTCCCTATGGGGGAAACTTTTTTCAGTTTTATAGTTTATCCTTCCATGATTTTTCAGTGGAGCAAATGTGTGCAGTTAGTTCTATTCCTGCTTATCTTAGGTAACTGGCAGTGTACTGTACACAGTTGTATTCCACTTGCTTTTCCACTTATATCCTGGAGATCATTCTATAGTATAGAAAAACTTTTCTTATTCTGCCGATAGCTCCATAGTTTAATCACCCAGTCCTCTGCTATGTAGATAGTAGACAGAGCAGGACTCTGTCTCATCAGATAGTTAAGGCCAAGGCGGGTGGATCACGAGGTCAGGAGATTGAGACCATCCTGGCTAACATGGTGAAACTCAGTCTCTACTAAAATACAAAAAAATATATACATATATATGTATATATATATATAGCTGGGTGTGGTGGCGTGTGCCTGTAGTCCCTGCTACTCAGGAGGCTAGGCAGGGGAATCACTAGAACTGGGAGGCAGAGGTCACAGTGAGCCAAGATCGCGCCACTGCACTCCAGCCTGGCAACAAAGCAAGACTCCATCTTACAGAAAAAACTTTCTATTTACTCCCAAATTCCCCTCCATATGGCTCCTCCATTTTGCATCCCCACCAGCCATAGCTAACAGTGTCTGTTTTCCCATAGCCTTGCCAACAGAATATATTATCAAAATCTTGAATTTTTACTCATCAGATAGTTGAGAAAGGGGTAGTTTTAACTTACATTTCTCTTATTAAGAGCAAAAGTGAGCACATTTTCAAATGGTTAAGAGCCATTTGTATTTATTTTTCTATAAAAAATCTTGGTCTACCTCTGAGCAATGTAGGTTTAACCTGACTCTAAGGTTGTTAGTCTTTTCTGTTTTTAGAAGCTCCATCTGTGATGTAAGCTGAAAAGATTTTTTTGCAGTTTGTTATTTTCCTTTAACTTTGCTTAGGCAAAGGCTTTGCCATGAAAAGTTCTTTTATTTTTTTATCTTTTTATTTTATGTAATTGTACTTATCAATTCTTTTCCTTAATTGCTTCTGAATTTGGAGTCATAGTTAGGAAAACCTTCTCTCTCTCAGGTTGTAAAGTAACTTGCCTAAGTTTTCATCTAATACCTGTATGGTTTCATTTGTACATTTAAATATTTGATCTGTTTAGAATTTACTCTGGTGTAATGGTATGAAGAACAGGTCCAATTTTATATTAGAAAGTAGATTTAATATGCCAAAGGAAAACACCTTTTTTTTTTTTTTTGAGGCAGAGTCTCGCTCTCGCCGCAGGCTGGAGTGCAGTGGCATAATCTCGGCTCACTGCAGCCTCCACCTCCTGGGTTCAAGCAATTCTCCTGACTCGGTCTCCTGAGTAGCTGGGACTACAGGCATGTGCCTCCACACCCAGCTAATTTTTGTGTTTTTTTGTAGAGACCATGTTGGCCAGGATGGTCTCGATCTCTTGACCTTGTGATCTGTCTGCCTCAGCCTCCCCAGGTGCTGGGAATACAGGCGTTGAGCCACCAAACCCGGCCCAAGAAGACACTTTTTAATGACAAAAGATTCAGTTCATTAAGAAGATAATAACAATGCTACATTTGTATGGACCTAATAACACAGCCACCAAATAGATACAACAAAAATTGACAGAACTAAGAAGAAAAATGGAAAAAGCCACAGTCATTTTGGGAGACTAACACACCTCTCAGTTACTAGCAAACAAACACAAAAAATAAAAATAATGATATAAAAGATTTTAATCACACAATAAGAAACCAATAATGGCAAGATACACATTCTTTTCAAGTGCACATTGAGTATTTTACAAAATGAGTATATATTTGGCCATGAAGTAAGTGCCAACGAATTTCAAAGGACTGAAATCCTGCAGAGTATGTTCTTTGACCACAGTGCAATTAAGCTAGAAATCATTACCAAAAAGATAATTAGGCAATTCCTGTATATTTGGAAGTTAGGAAATAGTTTCAAATAACACTTGGGTCAAAGAAGAAATCACAATAGAAATTAGAAAATATTTTGAACTGAATAAGGTGAATATTATATATCAAAAAGTGTGAGATGCAGCTAAAAATCATGCTTAGAGGGAAACATATAGCCTTAAGTATATTTTTTCAAGCTTCCAGGAGTTAGGAATTTTTTATTTCAAGAAATTAGGAAAAGAACAGCAAGTTAAACCCCAAAGAAACAAGAAGAAAATAAACATAAAAACAGAAATCAGTGAAATAAAAAAATCAACATAAAAATAGAGAATTAAGGTCAAATATTGATTATCTGAAATGATTTATGACATTGATAAGGACTGACAAGACAAAAAGGAAATAAGATCACAAGGAAGTACAAATAACAAATGTCAGGAATAAAAAAGACTACTACTATGTATCTAATAAGTATTGTAAAAATCTTAAGTGGATATTATGAAGAACTTTACACCAATAAATTTGAAATATAAATTAGACAGATTTCTTGAAAAAATACAGTTTACCAACATTTACACAAGAAGAAATACTCAGAATGGTCCCATAACTATTAAAGAAATTGAGTTCATAATTTAAATTTTATAGCTGGAGAAGTCTACATAACATTTAAGGAAAAAAATAATACCAACTTTCAATAAATACTTCCAGAGAACAGAAAAAAAGAAATACTTCCCAACTAATTTTATGAGGACAGATAATCAAAACTTGACAAGAACATGACAAAAAAAAAAAAAACAAAGAAATTACACAATCTCACTCATGACCACAGATGGAAAATTCCTAAACAACACATTAGCAAGTCAAATCCTGCAATGTATAACCCAACCACCAAGTCTGGTTTATTCTAGGAATGCAAAGTTAGTTTAACATTAAAAAAACCAACCAATGTTTTTCACCACATTAATGGAATGAAAGAAGAAATTATCTTCTAGATCCATACAGAAATAGCATTTCATAAAATTCAACATCCATTCATGTTAAAAACTCTTAGAAAGTAGTGCAGAAGGGAATTTAACCTGATAGAGGATATCTGCACTAAACCCTGAGACTTAATGGTAAACAGCTGAAAACTTTCTCTGAGATCAGGAATGAGATGAGGTTGGCCATACTGCCACTTCTATTCAACGCCATTCTAGCTATTGTCCCAACCAGTAAAATAAGGCAAGAAAAAGATATAAAATGTCCAAGGATTAGACAAGAAGAAATAAAATTTTCATTATTTCTGGGTGACATGTATAGAAAATAAAAAAGAATCTAAATAATTACTAGAATAAGTGAGTTTTGTATGGTCACTGGATCAGGATACAAAAATCAACTGCATTTCTATCAGCAAGTAACAAGTGATAAAACAAAAAATTACCATTTATAAAAACATTCAAAAACTTAACTCCCTAGGAACAAATCTAGCAAAGATATGCAAAATCTCTACACAGAAAACTATAACACATTATGGGAGAAACTGAAGAAAGCCAAAATAATTGGAAGGCTAACCATATAATGGCAAATGGATGAATAAATAAAATGATAGAAGAGAGTAGAATTTAGAAACAGATCTATACATATGTAGTTTTGACTTGACAAAGATGGTACTTCAAGGTAGCAACGAAAGGCAGTCTTTTCAATAAATAGGCTTAGATAAATTCAATATCCACTTGGAAAAATAGTGAAAGAACCCCTACTTTCACAACTTGCATAAAAATCAATTCCAAGGGGATCACACAGATTATAAAAAAGCAAAACGATAAAACTTATACTAGAGAATAAATACCTTCAAGACTTTGGTGAGGGAAATTCTTAAATAGAACTCAAAAATCATTAGGAAAAGATCAACTTTACCATTGTCAAATTAATCAATGACTTCTGTTCCTCAAAAGATGTCAACTGGGACAAGGTATTTGTAACACATATAAACAAGGATTTATATTTAGCATATATATAAAGAATTTCTACAAATTAATGAGTTATATTTCTATAAAACAACTGAGATGAGAACATACTAAAATATAACTATGTGTTTTATCAAGTCAGTCTTTATACTTCTTTCCAAAGCAGTCCATACTTTTTATTGGATTTTGATTTATAATAATTTTTGTGTCTTTATAGGAATCCAGCTGGTGGAAGAATTCAATTGGCTATTGCCATTGCAATCACACTTTTCCCATTTATCTCATGGGTCTACATATATGTTAACAAGGAAATGCGGTCCTCCTGGCCAACTCATTGCAAGACAGTAATTTAAATAAATTCAAGAATTTCGTTTTTAAAATGAGTGTTTTCAGTCAATTTTTTATAAACATTAGGGGAACAAGCCAGTTTTCAGGAGTTTATTTCAGGTAATTTGGGCTAATAGAGTTTTTTAAAATTCCAAATAACTTTTTAAGGCTGCATACAATTTATTTGATATAAGATTGGATGGGACAAGTGAGAAACAGTCTGATGTTTTCTGGAAGCCTTTCTGCAGGGTCTTGTGTCATAATGTAGTGGAAAAAGCCAGAGAATAGAAGTTTAAATGCAAGTTCTAACTACTCACCTTTGTAACTATTTAATTTGGGCAAATACATAAACCCCCGGTGGGTATTTCTTTATAAAACAGGATTAATGCCAGATCTACTTATATAGTTGTAAGCATCAGTCTAGATAATGTAAGAGCACTCTGAAGATACAAAGTGTTCAGAAAGATTACAGAGGGCTGCAGGTGATTAAAATAGAGGGGAGCAAGGATTGGGTAATATACTGAAATAAAGGATCAAGACAGGGTTACAGCCCCCCCCCCCCCTTTTTTTTTAAAGACAGTCTCATGGTCACCCAGGCTGGAGTGCAGTGGCATGATCACAGCTCACTGCAGTCTTGACCTCCCAGGGCTCAGATGATCCTTCTACCTCAGCCTCCCAAGGAGCTAGGACTACAGGTGCGCACCACTAATTTTTTAAAATTTTTTGTGGATACGGGGTTTTGCCATGTTGCCCAGGCTGGTCTTGAACACCTGAGCTCAGGCGATCTGTCCACCTCAGCCTCCCAAAGTGCTGGGATTATAGGCATGAGCCACCCGCCTGGCCTCTATTACTAAAATCTTTCACACTTCCACATTTTTCTTCCATTGTTCTCTACTTCACATAGCTCAGAAAGCTCTAAGGGCTCCATACTATCTGGCAAGTTAAAGTCTAACTCTTGGTTCATCATTCAAGGCCCTCCGTAATAGGGCCCCAGCCTATCCTTTTTTGCCATATTTCTTGCCATATCCCCCTGCCTCCAACCTGGCACCTTTTTGGTGAATCGTCACAGCATGACTTGCCACATCTAACTTCAGCATACCTTTTTGATGCCTCCACTTTTGCTGTTCTACTTGATATACTCTTCTCCACTTATTCAAGCCATTTTTCTTCATTTTGCATGTCATCCCCAATCCCTTCGAACGAAATTAATCTTCCATGTTCCCTTGGTCCTTTGTGTGACCACAAATTTCACATATTTAAATCATGGATGTCTGTTTAATTCATAGTAAGGTCTATGAGTGCAGGAGTACATTATAGTCACCTCTGTGGTCAGCTGAACAACTGTATCCACGTCCTAATCCCTGGAACCTATGTTACCTTATATCACAAAATAAATTCTGCAGATGTGATTAAGCCATCCTGAGATGGGGGTTACCTGGATTATCTGGTTGGGTCCCAAAGGTTACTACAAGTGTCCTTGCAAGACAAAGGCTGAAGCAGATCTGACTACGGACAGCAGAGAATATGACATAACAGTAAAGAAAGATTTGAAGATACAACACTGCTGGCTCTGAAGAAGGGGCCGTGGGCCACAGAATGCAAAAGTACAGCTCTGGAGGCTGGAAGAGGATTCTTCCTAGACCCTCCTCAGGGAGCATGGCTGAAACCTTGGTTTCAGCCAAGCAAAAATAATTTCAGACTTCTGACCTCCAGACTGCAAGAGAACAAATGTGTTGTTTTAAGCCACAAGGTTTGATTTCTAACAGCAGCCATAGAAAGCTAATACTCCTTTATACCCCTATAATATTCAACTGGCATGCTTATTTCTTATCATGTTTTGGGCGCTCCATCAATCTTTCTCCACACCTGAGTAGACCCCATTTGCCATCTAGTGTTTCTGCACATAAGCCTTAGCATATATGAAAATGGTGTTAAGCATCTCCCATTAGTGTACAAAGGGAGTCAGTGTAAATTCATTTACCTGCTGTAGCTTCACCCAGCACTAGCTGGTGACCCAAAGAGACCAAGCTGGCTGGCACACGGCTGCACTGCCACTTGGTCCTATGAATCACAAGAGGACAACATGACTTTTCTGAAGGCCCTTCTTACGGGGATGGAGCGCCACACACTCACCGTGAAATACCTGTTGATAATTTTGTTTACAAAATGGGAATACAAGCCGATAAAAATGCAAGTGTAGATGTTCTGAGAAAAAATTCTCCAAAGCTCAGTTACACAGCAGGGTGAACAGAAAAAGTGTACCTGAGCTTATGTGGTGAACTTGCAGTTACATAGTTAATCAACGTGAATACATTCTCCTTGTAAAAAGTTAAAAAATCAGGTTAGGCCAAATAAAATCCCTCGTGAGGACTATACACCCCTGCTCAGTCTCCTCCCTAGTTTACTGCGTTTCTAACTTACAATGGATACATTATCCAAAAAGACATTTCTGAATACTTTATCAACCAACACACACTGAAACTCTGAATACATTTTGTTATGCAAGCTGAATACTAAACAATGAGACTGAGCATTTTTATGTTTTTGTTTGGGGGGACAAACACAAAGCTCATTTTCTATCAAGCTAAACAAAATAAACTAGACTAACAATGGAAGGCTCTTTCTTTTTTTTTTCTTTTTGAGACGGCGTTTCACCATGTTGGCCAAGCTGGTCTCGAATTCCTGACCTCAGGTGATTCACCCACTCGGCCTCCCAAAGTGCTAGGATTACAGGCGTGAGCCATCACTTCCAGCCTCTTTCTTGTAATTCATAATTCTGTCTGGAACTCTGCCTCTCCCTTTCAACAGCATTTTGTCAGGATAGACGTGAACTGTGCCAAAAGCTTGGCTGTCTGGAGCTGTTTCAATAACTCCTTCTAGGTTGACGTGGTATACACCAAAAGGATCCTCAGAGTAGCCACCATCATGGGTGTGACCAGCAAAGAAACACACCACACACTTGTGAGACCAAATGACTGCCAAGGCATCTCTGTAGTTCCAGGCCAGACACACACTGTCAGAGGCGTCAGGGTAAATGGGAAGATGGCCTGTTAGTTAAAGAAAAGAAGAGTTATAAGCCAATTAAGAAACCTCTCTTCTATAAAAATAAATGGCTAAAAGCTAGCACTCAGAAAAAGAAAAAAAAATTGCTATCTCATTATGCAAATGAACTGAGACCAGAGGGAATTCACACCCATGAAAACACTAGGCCACCTACAGCCACATCTCTGAAGCATGGAAGAAGGATGAGACAGTTCACATGACGTGCGACAAGCTGCTGTAGACGCAAAACCTGAACCTCTGAGGCCTATGTCATCTCAAGTTGCCCAAACACCAAGGAAGACTGAGGGTGTCCTATGCAGCACAGTCTGCAGAGGCAGCCAGAAATTGGGCAGATGTTGTGCTGGAATCCAATCCCCCTGATTTCCTTAAATGTGAATGAATGTTATATACACAGCATTATGTAACATAAAATAAAAGAACAGGCCGGGTGCGGTGGCTCATGTCTGTAATCCCAACACTTTGGAAGGCCAAGGCAGGTGGATCACCTGAGGTCAGGAGTTCAGGACCAGCCTGGACAACATGGTGAAACCCTGTCTCTACTAAAAATACAAAAATCAGCCAGGCGTGGTGGTAGGTATCTGTAGTCCCAGTTACTCAGGAGGCTGAGGCAGAAGAATTGCTTGAACCTGAGATGGGGTGGTTGCAGTGAGCCAAGATCACACCACCACACTCTAGCCTGGGTGACAAAGCGAGATTCCATCTCGAAAAATAAAAATGTGAAAATAAATGAATGAATGAACAGTTTAGGGATGGACCATGGATTATGTGTCATTTATATAAACAATGTCTCAGAATTGATTTATGGGATTTTAAACACCCATTACATCAAGGTAGCCATACCCACTTTACAGATGAAAAACTGAGTTAAAACAAAGAAGATTTATTCTGGCGTCCACAGGAAGTATGCAGAAGCAGAGTTTCGAATTTCTAACGGCAACACATCCATGAGTTTATACCATACATCAGGCCATGGTGCTCACTCTGAAGTATAGCTCACATTGCATCTTCCCATTAAATCACTTTTTTTCTATTACTGTTCATTTTTATTCTAAAATTTAAACATATTTCTGCTTAATACCTGTTTGTAATACAAGTTTTTTTTTAAAAAGTGCTTACATGCACTGATTACCACCTAACAGCTAAACATCCAAAGGCATGTGAGTATCTGGAAGCCATACTGATTCATCTATCAAGTCCCTGCAGCATTTGACACAATTAGTTGTTCCCTTCTCTCTGAAAAATTTGGCTCTCAAGACACCACTGTTTTTCCTAGTGGTGTCTTTCTAGTTTTTCCCTAACTTCAATGGCCACTAATTTCCAATCTCCTTTGCTGGTTTCCTCTCATTTCCCCAAGGTCTTACCAGGAGTGCCTGAATGCTTGGTCCTTGGACTTCTCTATTCATACCTAATGCGTTGGTGATCTCTTAGTGATTTACTAAGTGATTAAATGTCATCTATATATTCTTTCAATTTCCACATTTATATAGCTAGCCTAAATCTCTATTCTGAATTTCAGACTTCTAATGTCTGAACTACCCACTCAGCATCTCCAACAATGTCTAGTAAGCATCTGAAACTTACATTTCCAAACCTGAACCCCTGTCCTCTCCATTCAAACCCCTCATCCTGCAGTGTCCCCTCTCTCAGCTAATGGCAATTCTGTCCTTCCAAATGCACGGCCAAAATTCAAAAAGTAGGATGACCTCGAGTAGCCACAATGAAAGTTAAGAAATCTATTACACTTTAACTTTTAAACTTTACGAAAGAAAACTTAAATTATTCAGTTGTTAAGTTTGCTTTTCCAGTTTTTAAGCTTACAGCAAATAGTAGAAGAAACTTAAGAGATGCTAAATTAGATAGGTGTACCGCCATGAATAAAAAAAAGGGAAGAACCCAGCATCACATGGGAAAGGGGACTGAGACATAAAGCATGGATTCTAATCACAGTGCTGTCAGTAGCTACGTGACTTTGCTATGCTTCAATCTCTTTGGGCTTCAATTTCTTTATCTTTAAAATTCAGCAGTTTGGCTATATGATCTCTAGGTTCCCTTCAGCTCCAGTACAGGCTGGCAGTGGAAAACTTAAAAGCAGACACAAGAAGTATCCTAGTTTCTCAGATGACTTATTATAGAGCCAAAAGGAGTCACATCATTCCAACAACTCGAGGGCGCGCATCTCTTCCAACCTTTTAATGACACTTGGTATTCCAATGGTAGCAGAAACACTTCTGGTCCATCTACATGTTTTTACCACATCAGTGGAAGATTAATAAGGAAAAACTACATTTATAGATAGAAATATAGTTTTATCTAATCATCTCTCTGAATGCCCTATCATTTTCAAAGGGGTTTCATATTCACAATTTCATTAGATACACTATTGAGAACACTGCCGTTTGTAGGTTCACTATTTGCCCAGGACCACACAGTTCATAAAAACAAGAGCCAGAATGGCATCCTGTCCTTCTGGCTCTCAGTCCAGTCTTCTAAACTATTATCCCACACCATCTAATTCTAAAACAAGGACTCTAATCTCAACCTCCAAACCAAGTCTCCCAGCCATGCTGCAAATTCAAGTTCAGTTCTGTGTATGTGTTTTCACGCATGCATGCGCGCATATGTGTTTTAAGCACCCCTAGATTCCTACAATCTCTGACGGCAGTGTATCCACTAAAAACAATTCTAAATGAAAATAATACAAATCTAACTTCCTTGTGAGCATGTGGGAGGCACGGCTAGAGAATGGGAAGTGCTCACTGCCAGCTGAGCCTGTATCACACATCCCCTGTGGTAACAGTTTTGCTGCATCTCGGCAGTAGTGGCCTCTGTTCGGTGGCCACTATGCTGACAGGCAGGTCTCTAAGGCTGAGATTTGGTATGGGCCCTAACTGAATTTCTCACTTAGAAATTACTTCATTACAGTTTAAGAAACTCAGGGCTTCCTACTTTGAGGAAAGGATCCAAGCCCTGGTACTGACTTCCACTAATAAATTTAGTGTGGCATCTCCTTTATTAAGCTGATCGCAGCCTGGGTTCCACACATTAGAATTCAGCTTGTTTTTCTTTTGTTTTTATTTTTTTGAGATAGGGTCTCGCTTTGTCACCCAGGCTGGAGTGCAGTGGCATGATCTCGGCTCACTGCAGCCTCTGCCTCCCAGTTCACACGATTCTCCTGCCTCAGCCTCCCAAGTAGCTGGGACTACAGGCGCGTGCCCTGCTAATTTTTTCATGTGTTTTTAGTAGAGATGGGGTTTCACCATGTTAGCCAGGCTGAATTCAACATGTTTTAATTTTGAGTCAAGTTTCTTGGCAATTTTTATGTCTTAGTTATCACGGTGAAGTCATTTCACCTTTTGGTTCTTGCTTCTCTTATGGAGAGAAGGTTTTAAAAAAAAAACTTAGAAAAAGCCAAACTTTTGGAGTTTTTATTTTTGTATTAATGTCAATATTCTGCTTGTGATATTATACTAAAGTTTTACAAAATGTTTACATTGGAGGAAATGGGGCAAAACAGCTAAGTGATTGCTCTGAATTATTTCTTACAAATGCATGTGAATCTACAATGATTTCAAAAATAATATTAATGTTTAAAAAAGAAGTTACTTCATAAACTGACCTCATTTGAGGAAATTCAACTTAGAACCTAAAGGGCCAACTCACAGGCTCCATATATGGCAAGATGTTTCTGTTATTTACGTTTCTTTCTTGGTTCATCCTTAAATGTTCATCTTACATTCAGGTGGTTTCTAAATAAAAATTTTTAAAGTGTCCATTTTATAGAAGGAGGATATCGAAACACAAATACTGTTAGTATGCTTTAATGCCTAACTTTTCTCAATCTCTAAAATGTTAGTGTAATCAGGTAATTTAAATACTTACTCACAATCACCACCTTTTCTTGGTTTGTATCAGAGAACGTAAGCACTTCATTCAACCAGTTTAGCTGTTCTTGGCTGAATCCTCCATTAAACTGGACAAACTGGGGCTCAGAAAGTCCTGAAATGAATTCAGTAATTTTAGACCCATCAAAAGCCATTTTCCCCCACATTTGGACATTCAAATTTAGTTAATGTAAGGATGCTTGTTTTTCTTTAGGAATATTTGATTAGCAACAATCAACTTAAAATAAGAAATCACAAGCATTTAGAAAAATATATAAATGAATCACACTGCATCTCACTCCTAATCTTGACAGTCCCTCCTAACTTGGCTGGCTTTCCATTATATTAAAAATGCAAATTTCTTATTAAGTCCACTGAGCCACTACATATTCCTGGCCCTGTTTACACTCCAAAATCATCTTGTACCCCACTGGCCCTTTCCTGTACTCTTCAACAACACTCTAGTCTTAGTCCATTTAGTGCCATTGCATGTTTTTCCCTCTGTCTGCTAAATCCCTATGCCCATTCTTTCCAAGGAGGACTCCTCCTTGTCATTTAGGTCTTGGCTTAAATATCCTTCTCCTTGGAGTGCTTTCCCTGATCACCTAATCTAAAATAGTAAGCCTAATCCTTTTCGATAACACTCTGTAACATCATACTCTATTTCCTTGGTAGCACTTATGACCGTAGAAATAATCTTGTTTCTGTTTCATTTATCATCTGCCTTGCCTATTTACTGTTTGTTCCCTCCATTCCATCCATCAAAAAAGTGGTATTGTTAGTATTGCTTACAGCTCTGAATAGCAAGCCCTAGAAAAAGTGCCTGGCCTAGAACAGGCATTTAAAATATCTGTTTGATTTTCAATCTTAAATGAACTGTAACCAATCCATATGAGAGCAGGCTTGTGAGAAATCCTGACCCTGAACAAGTGACAATATACTTTTACCTTAATTGTCCATCTTCCTGCTGAATAAAAGGTAGTTGAAGAATTTAAAGACAATCTATTAGATTCTCAGCTCAAAGGAATAATTCACCTTGAGGACTATTCAGTTCCGTATTTGGATTGTGCTCCTTCAATATCTTCATACACTGCTCGTATTTTGGAGAAGACTGATCCATGCCCAAGACACTCAAGTCATATGCATCAAGTAAAATGAACCGGAATTTAGGGAATGGTACAAAATGATAAGCATAGTAATCCTCTGAAGGCATGGTCTCGGGATGATGTTCAATCTGGTCTTCTAGAAACTTTGTGTTAAGTTTAGAGTGTGTTAAATACTCTCTCCTGAAGTTATAGAATTCATGGTTTCCCCATGTATGATGAACTGGAACTTTAAGCTTCTTGAATGTGTCCATAACAACTTCTAAGGACTTTTCTGATGCATTATACTGTGCATTATATCCATCAATTATATCTCCAAGCTGAAGGACACAACAGGGGGTGCTGCTTTCATTATTCCAGTCTTCAATGGCACCCTGTAAGTGAAGAAGACTATGTCTATAGTATCGCCGCCGGGTTCCTTGGAAATTAAAGCCATCTTCCAAGTCAGCATATTGAATATCTGCGATAACTCCAAAGGAGAAAAGATGCTCTGAATTCTCATTTAGGGCTTCAGGATTGGGTTTATCATCCATAACCTCCTAACAGGTTTCTAAATAAACTAAAGTAAAAAAATAATAATAACTAAATTATAAACATTTTAATTTCCCAATTTCACTGAAGAAAATGATAGAGAATATTAAACTTAAAGGTTAATTCATTAGGCAGCTTGATACAGGAAAAAGTACATGGCCTTTAGAGTCCAACAGTCTTCGGTCTAAATTACTAACCCTCTAAAATGCTTGTTTTCTCTTCTGTACAACAGATGATAGTCTCTATCTTTCAGAATAGTAACAATTGATATCCTATCAATAAATAGGAATTCTAATGCTAATAAGGCCAAATTTAAATCTGGAATAATTGCTGATTTTTGAGAAATACATATTCATTCTAAACACACAGACAGACACAGAACCCCTCTCCCACAAACACCAAATAACTCTATCAAAACTTTAAGATTTTTTTTTTTTGGAAAGCTATATATGACATTCATTCATTGTATGTATGTTGTAAAAGATTCTTATTATGCATTATTTTGTGTCGGGATGAGTCTTTTCTCTTCCTTGGTGGGTAGGTCACCCAAAATAAGTTTCTCACAGTTTATATCTGAAGTAATGGATGAGGGGGAGGCAATAAATCCTCCTGAGCTTAAAGCTAAATCAAATTGATTTTCTGTCATTTGATACCAAAAGCCTCTCAAATACACCTTCCACTGGAACACAGTTCAGTTTAGAAAAACTCAAAGCTATCCTAAGAATTGTCAATTTTTAAGGAAAGTTAAGCAATGTGGAGAGAAGCACTAAGGGGCACACACTTCAAAATAGCAATGTGTTCTGGGGTAAAAAGAGAGACCCAAAGTGCTGAATACATACAGCTTTTAAAAGTAAAGTTAGGCATAAGGAGGTAGCCATTTAGACAGGTTGAGTATCCCCTTATCCAAAATGCTTGGGACCAGAAGTGTTTTGGATTTCGGACTTTTTCAGATTTTTTTGGAATATACTTAATAGTTGAGCATTCCTTTTTTTTTTTTTGAGATGGAGATTCACTCTTGTTGCCCAGGCTGGAGTGCAATGGTGCAGTCTCAGCTCACCAAAACCTCTGCCTCCTGGGTTCAAGCAATTCTCCTGCCTCAGCCCCCCGAGTAGCTGGAATTACAGGGGTGCGCCACCACACCCGGCTAATTTTGTATTTTTAGTAAAGACATGTTTCTCCATGTTGGTCAGGCTGGTCTTGAACTCCTGACCTCAGGTGATCCACACACCTCAGCCTCCCAGAGCGCTGGGATTACAGGTGTGAGCCACTGCACCCGGCCCAGTTGAATATTCCTGATCTGAAAATCCAAAATCCAAAATGCTCCATTGAGCATTTCCTTTGAGCTTCATATTGGTGCTCAAGTTTCTGACTTGGGGGCATTTCAGCTTTCACAAACGTATTCAGGGACAGTCAGGATCAGAAGTGAGTAAGCCAGGGAAAAAAGAACCAGGTGGGCAGGGAATTGACTCTCCTGGCTAGTTCAGCCTTTCCTTTCATGGTTCAGGGAGATGCTGGGGGAGCTCAGAAAGATTGGTCCTGGTGAACAGGGAGATCAAAAACTCAAAACCACCTCCAGCGAGGAAACTTAGAATTAATAAGCATTCTAATGTCAGGAAATTTTTTCAAAATAGCCCCCTCCCTCTACCAAATACAGACACAAAAAATATCAGTGAGTAGAGGATAACTGTTGAAGCTAGAAATGGGTAGATAAGGTTTACTCTAACTACTTTTATGTGTGTTTAAAAATGTATATGTAAAGTTTTTTTAAAAAAAAATTCAGGCTGGGCACAGTGGCTCATGCCTGTAATCCCAGCACTTTGGGAGGCCAAGGTGGGTGGATCACGAGTCAGGAAATCAAGACCATCCTGGCCATGGTGAAACCCCATCTCTTAAAAACCAAAAAAAAAAAAAAAAAAAAAATTATTCAGGGGCCTGGTGGCGTGCACCTGTAGTCCCAGCTACTCAGAAGGCTGAGGCAGGGGAATTGGTTGAACCCAGGAGATGGAGGTTGCAGTGAGCTGAGATCGTGCCATTGTACTCCTGCCTGGTGCTGCTGCACTCTAGCAAGACTTTGTCTCAAAAAAAAAAAAAAAAATTCAAAAATTTAGAGAAAATCAAATCTGGAGAAATTAGAAGACCTAAGGAAACATTTTGCTTTTGAATAGAATGGAGAACGACAAGTTTTTCGTGAACTTTGTTTTCAAAGTTTGCCTGCACCATTTATTATATGCTACATTATCTAAGTTCTAAAGAGGTATTATGAAGCGCCAAAAGCTATGAAATTAAAGACCCAGAACTTAATTATAGTCCTCATGCTTCCTAGAGTAAAATAATCCTCAACAGGTTATTGTGAGATTCAACTGAGCTATGATCACAGTAAACCATAAAGTACTATATGCGTGTTAAGAAAATAATTTTTAAATTACATATCTGAAAATTGTGTCTAATGAGCCTCAGATAACAAAGTACTGCAACATTTTAATAGAAGAGAATAATGTAGAAAACTTTATAAGAGTTTCTCTCAAAATTCCTATCAAGTCATGGTACAGGATAAGCAGCCAGCATTTTGCAAAAGCCACCTTAGGTATAAGATATTTTTTTTTTCTGTGACAGGGTCTGGCTCCATTCCCCAGGCTGGAGTATAGTAGCGCAATCATGGCTCACTGTAGCCTCAACCTCCTGGGCTCAAGTGACCTCCTAACTCAGCCTCCCTGATAGCTACAGCTAGGATTACAGGCCTGTACCACCACACCTGGCTTTTTTGTTGTTTGTTTTTAGAGATGGGGTTTCGCCATGTTGCCCAGGCTGGTCTCAAGCTCCTGGGTTCAAATGATCCATCTGCCTGAGGCCTCCCATACCCAGGGATGCTTAATTGCTGAAAAGCTGCTACAAGATCATAGTAATAAAACTTTTCTAATAAAGACTGGCTGAAGTTCCTTGTGGAAAGCCTTCAAGCATCAATATGAACTTTTGAAAGAAGGTAGTTCCACCCTGAAATACGGATGTTTCCTTCACTCTATTGTCAAAGGTGAAGGGGGTAGCAGGGGAAGTCCAGAGATTAATAAAGAGAGACTTTGTTGAGAGAAACTTGTAACAGAGGCTCCTAGCCTAAGGGTGCAGGAAGGTGGGTGAGCAAGCCTTTTATAAACAGAGACCATACAAAGAGAAAAGGAAAGTTGGGGCAGGAAATGTCTGTGGTTAGGGGTTAGGCACAAGTGGCAAGGGTCTGGAACAAAAATGAAGCAAACATATTACGGTGCTGGGAAGTTCACAAAAAATTAGCCGGATGTAGTGACGAATGCCTTATAATCCCAGCTACTTGGGAAGCTGAGGCAGGAGAATCTCTTGAATCCTGGAGGCGGAAGTTGCAGTGAGCCGTCATGGCGCCACTGCACTCCAGCCTGGGCAAAAAGAGCAAAACCGAGGTAGAGGCGGGGAGGGAGTGATTAATATTTCGGATATTGAGACATAAATAAAGGCAGACGGAATGAAGTTAGACTTTCACCAAGAACCAAAAACCTACGAATGCTCTTAGTCTCATTAATATGGGGATGTACCCACGTAACATAAGCAGTTCCAGATGAGGAACCCATTAACAAACTTCAAATCTCGAAGGGAGCAAGGTAGTCCGTGAGAGTATTTTAAGACACTGGGTCCCAGGAAGACTAAGTTAAGGGATGGGGTATCATGCCGTCTACATTTCTTTATACACTGCTATGCTTTATTAATCAGGTTACATTTTGATATTACATGACTAGAAGTACTGGGCATTTAAAGTCTTCCAGGCCACCCTAACTACTCAAATTATCCTAATTAGCAGTTTTTTTAAGTTAAAAATGAGAGTTCTAATGAGTCGGTTTCTATACAAGGATGCGAAGGAGGCAGCAATCTTGCACTTCTTCTTGGCCGGCAGGACAAGGTTGAAAAAGCTGGCCAGACAAGGTAGGGTTAAGGGGGCTGCCCAGTCCCGCGGGCCTCTAGGCAGTGTTTTCTCTCTTCTGAGCTGTGGGTGTCCCCGGGGCGAGAAGCCAGCTGCGCTCACCTAAGCCCGCGAACGAGGCGGGGCGTCCCCAGCGCTCGGGACTGCCTGGCCTCGGCCCAGCCGCGCAGCCTGGACCCCTAAGGCAACCCCCTTCCCAGGCCTCCGCGGTCCCGTGGTCCTGAGGCTCCATAGCACCGCCCAGCCCGCGCCGGACCCGCCTTCAGCCGCAAGGAACTACCTACCGTGCGCCGGCCCCACGGCTGAAAGGCCCTTGACTACCAGCTATGCAACCGCGCCACCATCGAGCGGGACGGACAGAGCGGCTCCTTCCGACTTCCGGAGGAAACGGAACTTTACCGGAAGTCGCGGGGAGGGTCAAAGGAGACCTGTGTCCGAGACTCATGGCGATGCAGGTCTTAGTACCCGGACGAGTCATGTGGCCTCTGGGTGGCCAGTTTTGGCGCCTCTTGCCTCGCAGTTTCAAGCTCTGGGGCCCGGCCGAGGGGACTGCGAGAGTCTTTCTCAGGCAGTTCTGCGCGCAGCAAGAGGAGGCGTGGCGGGCCTCGGGGCTTCCTGGCTACTCCCGGGGAAGTCGGCCCCTCTGCACGGCGACGCCGCCACCCCCAGGGTTGTCCGGGCCCGAGCAGAAGGGCCGCAGAGACCCCTGGCGCCCCTCGAAGCCCGGGGTGAGTGCGTAACCCTTCCGGTGCTTGTCGCGGCTGTCGCCAGCCTTAGCGGCCACATCTCACTTAGTCGTAACCTCAGACACTACCCCGCCTCCCCTAAAGTTGTCCTCAGCTTGGGCGGCTTACCTGGGTCAAGGAATCTCATCCTGCATTTCCCGTATTTTGCCGGGAGTCCCAGTCCTCGAGAGAGAACTTGAGAACTTACACGCTCTCCACGTGGCTAGGTGCCCGGACTTGGATTTTATGGTAGCTTTTCCGCCAAAAAATTAAGTTTTGGGTTTTCTTAAGGGTGTGAACCTGAAGTTTACCGTGATTGAGGAGTCAGAACACTTTTATAATTTGTCATCTGAACCCCCTTCAGAGGTTCCGTGTATACGTTGAAGTTGAAAAAAAAGTGGAACTTGGTTATGTGTGGATATGCCTTTTTTGGGGGGTTTTCTCTCGAATTCTAGTTCTGACCCAGAAAGAACTTGAGAGCCACTATCCTCTGTTAAGAGAAGTGGGTTTTCGGAGCTGCGGGAAAGTTAATGAGTTAGGCCTAGTTCCCCAACATCTTCCTTATTTGGGGACTTGAATAAGAGTACAAAGAATTAATGGGTGTGATTTGCAAGAAGCTCCACTTTTACATGCCCCTTATAGTTTGGCTTTGTTACTTCTGGAAGTCAGAGTTAGGTTAACCTCCCAAATTTGGTTTGGTTTATATGTATTCTTAGTGTCAGCACAAGCAGATAATTATTTTTTTGTTTGTTTGTTTTGTTTAGGTTTTTTTTTTGAGATGGAGATTTGCTCTGTTGCCCAGGCTGGAGTGCAGTGGGAGCGACCTTGACTCACTGCAACCTCCGCCTCCCGGGTTCAAGCTACTCTCCTGTCTCAGCCTCCCGTGTAGCTGGGTTTATAGGCGCCCGCTATCACGCCCGGCTAATTTTTATATTTTTAGTAGAGACGGGGTTTCACCGTGTTGGGCAGGCTGGTCTCTTAATTCCCGACCTCAGGTGATCCACCCACTTCGGCATCCCAAAGTGCCGGGATTACAGGCGTGACCTACCGCGTCCTGTTTTTAAATCACTATTGGAGCCAGGGTGACACATAGTCACAATTATGGTACTTGAGCTTTTGGGGGTTGTTTTTTTACTCGAAGAGAAACTGACTTAGGGAACTTTCCTCTGGAGATGAGGGCCTTTGTAATTCAGATTTCAGACGAAACTGCATCCACAGAAACTTTGGGCATTTTCTCATCCCTGAAGCATTTTGCACATTTAACAACATCATGGCCTGTGTATATGTATATTAAAAACCACTGTTGTAAGTTTATATGGTTAAATGTTTGCATCTTACTAGAATTTTTATTTTTGAAATCCCTGCCCCAGTAGCCTGTTTCCTGGAAGTCTTTAGCAATCACATTTGCTGTTGGAGGAGCTTTACTGGCTGGAATGAAGTACATCAAGAAAAAAAAGGCAGAGGGTAAGTAGATATCATCTGGTCAGCGCTGAATAAAGTTCTTCCCGGCTGTGGACTACCACCTTTTTTGTTGTTTTTAAGCTTTTTTTTGAAACAACTTTAGATTTACCAAAAAATTGCAAAGATAGCATAGATTCCATATACCTTTCACCTAGCTTTCCCTAATATTAACTAACACCTTGCATAACCATGGAACATTTTTCATAACTGAGAAATTTAAAATGGCATACAACTATTAATTACATGACAGATTCTATTTGTATTTCACTTGTTTTTCTGTCAGTGTCTTTTATCTGTTCCAGGATCCAAGCTAGGATACCACTGCCTAACAATATTAAAAGATATACAGTGGACAGATTTGACTGGGCAAGATGAAGTCTGGAGGGTACAAAGATGACTGAGATGCAGTCGAGTCTTTGAGGTACACATGGCAGGAAAACAGACAAAGAAGTAAAGGATTTTACTAGACGCAATTCTGCCAGGCCAGAAGGAAGCTTAGCATGTTCTGAGAGCAAAAGGAAGCCCCGGCCTTGGGATTTGAGAAGGCTTCCTAGGGATGAGGCAAGGAGCATAGTGTGCATAGATACTGCATACACCCTGTGAATAAAAGGGAGGTGAAGAGAGCCTGATCAGGAAATTCCAGGAACTGCTGTGGATTAGCATCTTGAAATATTTAGAAATTGTTTATAAGAACTTTATATTTTAGTGACTATCCTAGGACTTTTAAGATTTGTTTTAGAAGTTTTTAGGTAAATCTTTATTGTTTAAATCTTTCTGTTCTTTGGAGTCTCTATCAGTAAGTTCCTTTAGTTTCACAAAGAAACAAAAGCTAAGAAATTTGTGGCGGGAAAATTCTAGAATATAGAAGGTTTTTTTTGACTTTAGTTTGGAATTTCAGGTGCAATGTTAACATTTGTTTTATTGAAAAAAATGTATTATGAAATGATCTTTAAAGTCTGCCTAAATAATTCAAGAGTGTTTATTTACTGACATGTTGCCTCAATCAGCTCCAAATACTTTTTGGTGTATTTCCTATAAACATGGATCTTCTCCAAAATAACCACAATACAACCATCAACATCAGAAAATTAACACTGATATTTTACTACTGTTCAGTCTTCAGACAGTCTTCAGGTTTTGATTAGAGTTCAGTCTTGCAAGTTTTCCTACTTCATGTCTTTCATAGCAAAAGAATCTATTTCAGAACCAATATACCTTGTACCTAGTTGTTAGCTCCTTAGTCTCTTCCCAGACTTTAACAATTTCCCAGGCTTTAACTGACTCCCATGACCTTGACAGCTTTGACAGTTACAGGAGAGTTATTTTGTAGAATGCACCTTAGTTTGGATTTGTCTGATGTTTCCTCATTCAGATCATTCAGGTTGTGTACCTTTGGCAGGAGCATCGCAAAAATGATGCTGTATTCCCCTAGCATCTGGTCACATACCACATAGTACCAGTTGTCCCATTACTGATAATGCTCAGTTTGATCACTTGACTGATGTGTGTCTAACAGGTTTGCTGCTGAAAAGTTACTCATGTAATTAATGGTCTTTTGTGATTTGTATTGATATGCGTATACTTACATATTCTGTTCCCCTTCAGACTCCCAGTGTATTCATTTGTTTATATCTTTGGACTTGTTTGCTATGTATTCGTTTAGTTTTAATCCATATTCTCTTTATTTTGATGCTCAAGTTGTCCCAGATTGACTAGTGGGAGCCCCTCATGCAGGCTTTGTGTTTCCAGTGTTCTCTGAGTTCTGCTTTCCTTCTGCCACAACAAGAGCTTCTGGCCTCATTTTACTCTTTCTTTGCCGCAACCCTGATGTCAGCCATTTCTCCAAATATCTGTTTCCTTTTAGTGAAGAATGATATTTAGAATTCAGGTTCTGGGCTCATGGTTCTTGGTGTATGTCTGCTCCGTGTCCTCTCAGTGGACATGGTGAGAAAAAAGATGTATTTATGTACATCTTTTATATGTATATCTATATAGATAGAAGCTCACACTAGCACCTCCAGTTTATTTCCAGTACTAGTTGACTCCCTTGCCTATTGTAACTCTTTTGTCTTTAATATATTCATTTATTTCATCAATTTCCTATGTGTAACTAAGGTCCCATCACCACTGTCCTCTCCTCATGCAGTTGACCTCCTCAGCACCCTCAGGTCCAGACTCCCTATGCCCTGCCACCCACCGCACCCTGCTTGGGTTCAGACATTCAGCTCTAGGCCGCTGTGGCTCCTCCCTGCCCCCAGCGTGGACGCCTAAAATGGCTTAGGAGTCAACTGTTGCTGAAAAAGAAGAAATTTTTTTGCAGCATACCATAGCATTTCATTTGATTTTATCGTAATGTTTTGTGCTTATTTTTCTGAAAAGATTTTTTTAGCTTGAAAACTGAAACTATTTTTTCCACATTTTATGCCCCCAATGTGACTAGCATAGTACTAGCCATATGTCAGGTATTTGAGTACCTCTGGTTAAACTGACTTTTTTTTTGGTGTGTATGTTTGTGTCTCTTTAAGCGGTAGAAAAGGAAATGAACCGACACATCGGCAAGCCTTTACTCGGGGGACCATTTTCCCTCACAGCTCATACTGGGGAGCCTAAAACTGACAAGGACTACCTGGGACAGTGGATATTGATTTATTTTGGCTTTACTCATTGCCCTGATATCTGTCCAGAGGAACTAGAAAAGATGATTCACGTAGTGGATGAAGTAGGTAAGAAAGCCATCACTAACTGTATATACAAAGTATATGTTTACTTAGTGTTGCTATGTTTTTCATTCACATTCTTGTATTATTGTTAGGTGGGGTTTTGCAATAATGTGATTTGTAAGAACATAAAATCTCAGCATTTGGCTTGTTTGGCATAATTAGTGGTATTTATAAGATTTTCATAGTCTAATAAGCAGTAAGTTCCTTTAGTTTGAATCCTGTGACCTTATTCTCCACCAAAGGAAGCTTGTTTTGACATTAAATGTTAGCTCACTTAAAAAAATGTCAGCCTGGTCTCCCTTACCTCTGCTTTTGTGTCCCTTCCTTTATCGTAGCCTTGCATCACTGACACTGCCATTGCCTCTTCCCCAGTGACTGTGACGATTAGATTAGGAACCTTTGCAATGGTCTGCAGTCTGTGGCATTTTACTAGTACTAGCAAGGAGGAAGGGTGCCTCCTCCATAAAGTGAATTAT